ACGTAACCCAGTTACGCGCCTGCGCTCTTTGACTTAATAAGGAAAGTTACCTCTACATCCAATGGCGTCAGGTCAGGTCGGTATAGCAGCCTGACTGTAGGCGCGCCTACGGAAAACCGCGAAAGCTTCTTTCTTGATACAATTCTTCGGGCGCTCGAATCAACGTGCGGTGCGTTTTCTCCGGAAGATAGTTCTCCGGCGGTGTTTTCTAAAGAATTATTTTTTTTTCGCATTGTCAGCTGGTTTTTTACAGAAATTGTAGCACATATTATTAGTCCGGTGCATTTTTTGGTACCATCTTGTTGCTTTTTTATCTTTGTTTGGGCAAGGAATGAAACTTGACCAGGTAAATAATTTTTGTTTACTTTTTGATTCGGTTTTGATGCGCTCGATTTAGGGGGCCGATTTTGGCGGTTCTTTTTGTTTTTGTTTGGCGAGGAGATATATTTATGCAGTTTTTTGTAAACAAAAAGATTTCGTTAACATTTTTTTTAATTTAAAATATTTGTTAAATAAATTGATTATTTTCTAATTTGAATTTTTGGAACTAAATTTTAAAATAATTTGAAATTTCCCTTTTAATATATTTTTTTGCAAATTTTTCTTACTTTTTTTTTCTTTTTTTTAAAAAAAATATTTAATGAAATTTTTTTTTCTAGTAAACTAGAAGTATTAACAATTTGGAATTGATTTCATATATTGTTTGAAATAATTTACATTAAAATGCATTACTCCTTAAACTTCTATTTTAACACACACACAATGCAATTTAATTTATCCAAATTATTAATTTAAGAATTGTCTCTAAACTTTTAATTTCATCAGTTTTCAGAACTATTTTTACGAAAATTTTGCTACACACATTGATTTTGTTTTAAAATTTGAAATGAAACATGATCTTTTAAACCAATTTTTTTTAAAAAAGTTCTTGATACAAGAACTTTAAGCAGAAGCATTTTTTATTTTTTAGTTAAGTTTTTATATGAATTAAAATATTTGAAATTTCCAGTTTTATTTTTTATTAAATATAAAAGTATCGGAATTAAATTTGAATAGCATATTTATATTTTTTGTGTATCATTTAAACGTATTTTTAATAACTTTATCAATGATTTTGATTATTTTATTGATCAATTAAGTTTTTTATTTGGTAAAAATATCCATCATAATAAAAATGTTATCAGGATCATATTTCAATAAAACGCCATGTGACCAAATTATTTCATGCCTTTGATATTTTTAGCTGTAATTTCATGATTCTTTTCTCTTTGATTTATTTTAAAACTTTTTAGACAACCAGTAATCTTCAGTTGTATAAAAAATTTTGTTTCACATAATTTTAAATTTACATCTTTTGTATTAAAAATAACGGTTGAGTATACTAAGCAATATGAAGTTTATAAAAATATTCCAATAAAAATTACCTTTCAGAAAATTTACGGTTTCCTTATATTTTTTAAAAATTAAGATTCAATGATATTAATAATACTAATCTGTTATGGAATTATGGGGATATTTTTTTGAATATAGAAATTTAAAATGATTTCATGACAAGGAGTATTTGTATAACATTATATCAATAGTTTTTACAAATCGATATCTCATTCATAGATATATCGATAACTAGATTAATTTATTATTTTGAATACTATATTTATGAAAAAAATCAAAAGGTTTTTTTTTTTTTACTGAGCTTTTATTACTGGAATGTTGAAGAATATTTAAAAGTTTTATTTATAACTTTGATATATTTTCAATGAAGAAACTAGACACACGAATTTCTGTTTTTCGTTTTAAAAATCCTACACTAAAATAATTTAAAACTGAAAAATATTTTTTTTATTCTTACCGTGTATATATAGTTGTGAAAGCTGAGAATTAAAAATAAAACCGGATTTACTTTCATGTAGTTACTCCTACGCTATGAACTTTTAATACGATTTATTTGTTGTTAAAAAAAATGAAAGTATGACAAGTGTTATCTTAAGTTTCTTAATAGCGTTGTAAAATATCTTCCCACTATACAAATTCATATTTCATTTATACTCTATTATATTTCAATATAGAAGATTAAAGAGATAGAAAAATTCATGTTGACTATAACCTTGCTTGAAAAGTTGACCAATTATTCACGTTTTTTGAGAAAAGATAATCAACACTTTCTCAAGCTACATCTTCTGCGATAAAAATAGTAATTTATTCATAGAAATTGTAATAGTTCATTAATTTTGAAAATGGAAGCCTTTCACAAAGCCTGAAGGACACATTTTCTTTTAAAGCTATTTATGTGCTCGGTAAGATAAATGTAATATTAGCAAAGTTAAAAAGAATCTAATATATTTCAAATGATTATTTTAATTTAAATGCTATTTTAGAGAAGAAAAGCTCTAATGCAAAATACTTTGGAAATTACTTTTTATAGTTTTTATTACAGATGTGCACGTGCTGATAAGTTATTTCATTATAAAAATAAATTATCTTTTTACTTAAAGCCTTTGTAATTAAAAAAATGAATGGATCTCTCTATATATTTTCTCTCTTTTTTTTTTTTTATTTATTTATCTCCGATTGTGTTATTTATATATATATTTTTGTTATATAAATGTTGTGTAAGTTGTTTTGTTATGAATTTAAATAGAATGGGCACCCACAAAATAGTTTTTATGCTTTACTTCCGGTATAAATTTGAATTTTTTTTTCTTCAAAAGCATCGGCTTTTTCGCATGTTTCTAATAAATATTTACTAAAAGTTATTGTAATAACACTTTTCCCATATTTTTTTGTATATATTGTTTTGAAATGTTTTATTCCACCACGCATTCTACCATTTTCTACTCTTTCAGTTAAAAGAAAAAAGTTAATGAAAATATTTATTTGCAATAATTTTAATTTTCATTGATGCAAATATTAGAACGTTGAAGTTGAGAGAAAACAGTTGCAACTTTATACAAATTTATTTAGTATTCTTTCTATGAAAGTAGAAAGAAGGTGATCTGCCATTGGACCCTACGTGTTGTATTTTATAAATTTTATTTATGTGTAAATAAATCATTAATTACTGAATAAGATTGAAACATTTTACATCGGTTTTTTTTGTGTGGAAAAGTTTCTATTTCCTCGACAGTGAATAACTGATGTATAAATGAAATTTCTTTTGTTTTGCCTAGCGTTTCTCATTTTCGAGTAAAATTACACTGTTTTTTCACTTTTGTACCCTATCTTTGTTTTTTCCACTAACTGGATAAGAGAGAATCGTGGTTTTTTAAAAGTTGCTTTTTTATGTCTTTATTTTAAACACACATTTAATTTTAAAAAAAAGATCGAAGGATTGCCGATCGTTGATAGAGGAAAGTTTTCCCCTAACTTTCTTTTAAATTCCTTTGAAATTGTAGTGATACATTTAAAATATGAACGATGAATTTTTCCGGACGGATCGCATTGGCGATTTTTATATGTGCAAAACATTTTAACTTAGTTTCGCTATTTTTTTTTTTTTTGTAAAAATAATAATTTTACTAATTTTACGTCAATTTGTGTTTGTATTTTTTTACAAGTACAAATGTTTAAAAAAATTTAAATCAAACATTTTAAATTATTAAATATAATCTGTTTTTCTTCATTATTTATCAATTAATCATTCCCAATGGGGATAAAATGCATTTTTCAAGAGGTTTTAGCTATTTTTAATCAATTAATTTTAAAATAACTTTGAAATTGTTTATTTTTCACTCTTTAATAGTCTATCAATAGTTATTTCATATTAATAACTAAGTAACGTACGAAGTTTTCCATTTATTATATACTTTAACTGACTTGTGTAGTTATTTCATGAAATACCTAATTATTCTATATAATAACCGAATTGTACACCTTAACGGTATAACATATATACACACACACAAAAATCGCTCGAACAATTAATTTAATAGTAGTCATGTGTATCTCAGAATGGACTTGAAATTCTATATTTCGTTGTAGAAATACGATATTCTTCCAAAAGATGTATTTCTTTTTTGAAGCAGCGAATTTGAGGGAAATTCTTAGATTTCGACGAGAAAGTTGAAATATTAACTGCTTAACAAGTTTCCAGATCTATTTTAAGAGTATTCAGTTATATTTAGAAATCGAATAGGAATTTTTCTCGTTTTGATCAATTTATTTTTAATTTTCATGATATATCCTGAATCATCTAACCTCTTTTATCTATATATCTTAGCTGCATGTGTTTGGAGCTCTTTTCATTTTTTTTCCTTGTATGTTATCACTAAATGTCGTCATCGTGAGACTGATAAGGATAAGAGGCCTCTTCTACGTCTGCGTCATGTGATTTATTTTTATTTTTTTATTCTGTTACTTTATTCCCCCTATTGGACTTTTATCTCTTAAATTTCCTAGATTTTGTTTTCCCATCACAACAAGATTTTTAGATGTGTGTCATTCTGGTTTTATCTGTGTAATTTCTAGGTCCCCCCTCTCACACTAAACAAGATTCTTGTATTTTGTTTCTGTTTTATTAGTAAGTGTTACGACGAACTTGTCCCAGACTAAATCGGGATGTGTGAGAATTCTACTTATTTTTCACACTGCATGTGTTACTTTCTTCAAATTTAAAAAAAAAAAAAAACTCGTAGAATGAGTAGGAGTATTCGTGTTTTACAATGTTTCTTAACAGAAATTGAGATATTACATTTTCGGTTAATAAGTAATATAAAAAAAAAAATATTTGTAAGTCAGTTCCTACTTAGGTCAACAAACAAACATTTTATTTTAGTTACTTTTTATTAAGTAATTACAATTTTTATAAATATGTATATACATATGACAGAATCACAATATTAAGTGACAAAATAAAAAGAGATTTTCCTTGCTATTTTCCGTTTCTCTTTCTATATAGGGTGTTGAACTATTATTTTTATTGGTTGCTATTTATTCATTAATCAAATTTAATTATTCCAATAAAACAGTATAGTAAAAAGAAACCACATTCTCAGAAACTGGGCCATCCCAGGTGGGATTCGGACCGACGACCTTTGGATTAGAAATCCAACGCGGGCTGTCCATTGCGCTACAGGGACACAACGTGCGATTTTCCTTTTTATGTATGGTGTTGGACTATTATTTAGTTTTATACTAATTATTCATTAATTAAATAGAATTAATTAATTAATATTTTAAAAAACTGTAATAACATCAAGTGTCATCCACTACAAGTTTAAAAAAATGTATTTGAACTTGAGTGGATGCATAAAGAGTATTTTATTAACGTTTGAAACTTTGAACAAGATATATATAGGGAGAGTGTGAACTAATAGTAGGGGAATTGAGAGAGAAAAATAGGTCAGGAGTTAAATTGGATTAAAAAACAATCAAACCCCCTGATAACGTTTTGATTCCGGTATCCTTTATTAACAATAGATTTTGAAACCAAATCATATGAATTTGATTAAAATCTTTTTTTTATTTCGCAAATGGTTTTTCTGTGTCAGCCAATGAAAGAAAAACAACACGTGTTTTTTATAGAAGGTTTTCACGGACTATTGTCATAACTTTAAACATTGTTTTCTTCTTTTTAACACGATAACAAATATGATGGAAAGTTGTGACGTTGTGTCTGGAAAATTTTGAAAAAGTAAATAGAAATGAATAATCTCTGTTCTCTGACTTGCCAATTTAATGATTCTCTGTCTTGATTCAAGAAAATCTTTTTTTTTTTTTTTTTTTTTGGACGTTATTTTTTTCTTTTGTTCCGAAACTGAAAAACATTGAATTTTTTTGATTCTCCACTTCAAATTTATCACCGTTATTTCTTTTTTGTTGTGTTTTAGCTTTGCATCTATTTTAAAATACTGTACTTGGTACTGAAACTCGAGATTCAATTGATGTAATCATATTGAACACAATTTTTGCTTTATTCAGTGTTTCTAAAATGAATCTATTTCTCGATTCCGAATTTTGCATTTTGTTTAGAATTACATATAAGTTTTCTTTAATGGTGAAAATTTATTTATTTACAATAGAACGTCGTTTATCCGAACGTTTATTATCCCGAGCGTCAAATATCCGGACCAGTTTTTGTCAACTACATGTACTGTATATGAATACGTTTTCGAACAGTGCGGGGACTCGCTCGAAAGACAGAGCCTGAAAAATGCATGGAATAAGCTGTGGCCAGATTTAGAAGGCGAAAAAGACTTCGATGACGACCACAGGGAGGAGATTACCGACTTTGCCCAATCGATCTCAGGATTTCAAGAATGCGATGAAGAAGATGTAAGCTGGTAATGCGGAAGTAGAAGAAGACGCTTCGGATTTCTAAATGCTAAATGATGATGAGATTGTGACTTCCGTGCAAAAGAAGAATCCGACCCTGTCGACGATGAAACGGATGAAGACGAGGGCAACAACAACGAAAGTAGCAAGAGTCCATCAAATGCTGACGCGTTTTCTGCGTTAGAGACAGCTATGGAGTGGTACGAACAACAATCAGAGTGCTGTCCTACTCAACTACTGCTGCTCAAGAGAGTCAGAGACCTTGCAGCGAAAAATGAAGGTGTACAATGATACAGCGAAAAATAAGTGATTATTTTCCACAATAAAGGTAAAATTGCGACATTTTGCACCTATTTTGCTTTTTCTTCACGTGCGTTTCCCGCATGTGATGATTTTCGATATTCGTATAGTGTCCGGTTTCATATACTACATGGATCGCATTCGGTTTTCGGTTATCCGATCGGTGTCCGGTCCCAATTGATTCCGATAAGCGACGTTCTACTGTAATTTGAAGTCTGAGGTGATTGGTTATTTATTTGCGTTGGTGACGTGTGTGTTTGAGAAAATTGATGGTAGCATGAGAGTTAGGAAATTAAATAATTGATATATTTACGTCACAACTATTAATTACAGTATATACATTTACATTGAAATACTTTATAAGATTGATTGTTCATTAATTAATAGACCTCGTGTTGTTTTACAGTACGCAGGGACGTCTTAAGGCTTGGGCCAACTGGATTTGGGCCCAGGACCTTGACCACAATGGGAGCTTCGTCTCGATCTCGTCTCACCTATAATAAGATCACAATTAGAAAAATTTCAACGGTCAAAAGTTATTTTACTGGTTGTATTATCCGAAAAACTGAGTATATTTCGAATGATATGTCAACTGGTTGTATGGGATGACCTTCGTCCACGTATAGGTCTAGACCTATCCCCATTTTCCATCATTATTCAGTCAGTCTAAAGGCCGTAGTTGGTCCAGCGAGTTTGTGCAATTGTAAGTCATGCACTTTTATTTGTTTCGGGTTAATGTTTATATGAGTTTGTAATGTTTATACGAGTTATATTATGTCTACTTTTAAGTGTCATATGTGGGGCCTACATTTGTGTAGGGGCCATGGGCCTACTTTTGCGTTGGTGCCCAGAGCTTCAAGAAGTCTCAAGATGTTCCTGATAGTACGACGTTAATATAATTCTCTAGTACTCCGAATTCTGCATTTAAGCATTTTGTTTAGAATAACATTTAAGTCTTAAGTTTTGGAATTTTATTTTAAATTGAAGTCTGATTTGATTGGTTGTTTATATATATAGCTCTACAAAGCTACACAAAGACTATTAGCGACTTATCCCGTGGGCTGCGGTAGCCCAGTGGTCAAGGTATCGGATCATGTCAGGCATGTCATGAGTTCGAGCCCAGTATCACTAAAGACCCGCCGTGTAGGGCAGCGATGCACGTTAAATCTGTCGAGAGCTGAAACGTCCTCCCGTTGGTGTGGTGCGGGAGTTAGGAGAGGAGGGTGCCAGCTCAGGTGTCGTCCACATCACTTGACCATGGTTCAAAATTACGTGGTCCGTCGCCAAAAGCCCTTGTGTAGCTGAACAGTGCGACATTAATATTCAGTGACTTATCCCGTAATTTTGAATCGTAATCAAGTGATGAGGCTGATTACGAAACTTGCATCCCACTGTCAAGTTCCCAAAGCTCGCCAACGCGAGGACTTGGAGCCTCGAAAAATTTGACGTACTTTAACCTCTTCTGCGTGACAGGTCTTGTGTGACATCCGGATTCGAACCCACGACTCAATGCTGTCCACAATTTCGCAATCATGACCACTTTTGTATCCCGGTCCTTCAAACTCTAAAATTTTTCTAAGTATATTTTTTAAAAAAATGTTTTTTTCTTGCTTATATAAAAATTAAAGCACATCAAATACATAACGGGTTATTTAATCTAAAAAAGTAATCCTCCCCCTATTTTTTTTTAAATAAAAAATATTTTGCAGTCATCTAAAAAAGTAATCCTCCCCTATTTTTTTTAAATAAAAATATTTTGCTATCAATTTACGAAATGTGTTAAATGGTGAAGATGTGTTTATAGAAAAACATGTTATATATGAAACTATTTCTAAAAAATTATTTGTTGATTATTATGAATTAAATTTTTTTTACATGTTTAATAAACAACTGTTTTTATAGGATATAATGTTCTAACGAAACACTTAAAAGTATTTTAGGAAATTTAGTATTATTTCATGTTATTCTAAATATAAATTAGATTAATATTTCTTGAGTTGACTCCTAAATTTATTAAATCACATTTTGTTAGTAACAGGTTGTTTTAACTAAATGTATTTATAGTAGAAATTATTTTAGTGGGCGAAATATGTATGAAAAAATCACGTATGTGTGTAATATTTATCGTAGAAAATTCTATTTCAAAAAGGAATTAAAAAAGATTTAAATAAGCAGTTTTGAACTTGACCTATGATAATTTGTTTAATAGCAAATGAATCCAGTGGTTTTTCATTTAAAAAAAAGGTGTAAGAAAATATCGGATATCACGATAAGTGTAATCTTGATCGTTGCACAGAATGATTTTTTTAGCTAAACAATTACTCGTGTGTGTGTGAGTAGCTCTATAACATTAAATTCAATTTCTACAAATAAGTGTAATAAATTCGGGCATTTAGTTTTTTTTGCGTTGAATGACTTCTACTACAATCAAGCAACTGTGCAAACATGTTGTGTGATACAAAATTCGAATAATTGGAAAATAAAATTTTATGAACATAGTTCACACACACACGCAGAAGTCTAAAGAATTGATTCTATCCATGCGTCAGTTGTTTGACTTCATACCTGAATCATGAACATAAAATTTTATTTTTCGAAATATATGTTTATGTGCAAGTAAAATCTTTCAGATGTCACCAGAAAGTCATTGACTCTACGTAAACAGAAAATTATCAAAATTTATTTTTTAAAAAACAGACTTTATCTCTTCAAACATAATCTTTAGCAATATTAAATTATTTGAATTCTTTCAGAGATAATGACATTCATTTTTAAATGTTATCGTGAGTTTTTTTCTATTTTTGAACTCTACATTAACAGTTTTTGACCTGGTTGTTTTGAATCAACACATTTCTCTCCAGCTGCATGAAAATTGATGAAAGAATTATAAATTTAAGGTTATAAAAATTCGAACAGAGTTATCATATAACAAGAGCGATACTTAAGATGATGCCTCACTCGCTTAATTTTCTACCCACACATCTGAGGATTTATAAATTCAGTTGAATTTAACCAGTAGCAACCCCCGTTACTCCGAATGAGTGAGTGAATATTAACGTCGCACTGTTTAGCTACACGAGGGCTTTTGGCGAAGGACCTCGTAATTTTGAACCATGGTCATGTGACAAGGACGACACCTGAGCTGGCACCCCCTCTCCTAAATACCACACCACATTAACGGGAGAACGTTTGAGTTTCGACAGATTTAACGTGCATCACTCCCCTTCACGGCGGGTCTTTAGTGGTACTGGGCTCGAACTCACATGACATGTTTGCCATGATCCGATACCTTGACTGCTGGACTACCACATTTCCCCCCCCCCGTTACTCCGAAGGATGGTCTTATGAAAAGCAGAACTCGAACCCGAATCTTGACTTTATTGTCTCCGACCGTAAGTTCGTACTGATGCCAAAAAGACCCGCCGTGTAGAGGGATGATGTAGTTAAACGTATCGGGGCTCAAAGTCATCACGTTGGTGAGATGTAGAAATTTGGAGAGTGGGGT